CTGTACACGGAGATAATCTTCTATGTTCAATCTATTTCTAAATTTGGTTTTCATAGCAGAATATAACAAAAACGATTTTTCACAAAGGTATGTTGTTGGGAAACACTTCAATGCCTTGATCGTGATTTCTCTGTATTCCGTATATTTCTTAATCCAAAAATCATCAATTGCCTCTACTTGAAAGAAAGTTAATAATGTAGAGTTGGTGGAAATTTCTATAAGTTCCTCTTTTTCTTTCAAAGACAATTCATTTGTATTCACAGAATCAGTGAAGGGATTTTGAATCCAAAGGAACTTCTCGACATGTGAAGGGAAGTATTCAACAATGGTTGCTCTCATATCCGATAAATGTTGCATGTAAAGTTTTTATGTCTTTATCCAGGGAAATTCCATTAGCAAGTAAAAATTCACAAAGATTATCAAAGCAATCATAATTTTCCCCCAAAGCACACTCATTCCAAAGTTTTAGCTTGCACTGAAGTGTATTAATCCTACTCTAAGCTTTAAAATATGTTACATTTTTGCCCTGAAATGCAACGTTTATTTCATTCAGATATGAGAATATATCTGAAAGGTAAGCTAATCCCTGCAACCAACACGTATCACTTACTTTGTAAGAGAGCTCAAATGGATATTGGGACAAAAAAACGTGATCTCCTCATGCAACTCGTAGAATCTAGCTAAAACTCTGCCTCGAGATAACTAACAAACCTCTGTATGCAGCAATAAAGTTGTATGGATGCTTCTTATATTGTTACACAATAAACAAAAAATTCTTGAATTAAGTGGTCTTGATTTTATGAAATTAATTATTTTAGTTACATCACTAATTACTTTTTTCAAATTTAAGGGCATGCGCTTCATGGTAAGTGCATGCAGATGCAGAAAGCAATGGATGCTTTCAAGTTCTGGTTTTCTTTCTTCATGTGTGCTACAGCTCCTGAAATTTTTCCTATCATAGCAGCAACTCCATCAGTGCATATGCTTGAATATTGTTTCCATGAAATTCTATGGTCTTTCATAAAAAAATCAACCAACTTAAATATTTCTTCCCCTGTTGTGTGCGTAGCTAAAGGCTTGCACAGTAAAATATCTTCTTCAATACGAGATTCGTGCTCATAACGAATGAGCAGTAGTAATATGGCCAAGCCTGTAACATCAGTGGATTATTCCATTTGGAGAGAAAAAGTTGCACTTTGCTTTACTAGTCTTATTAATTCATTTTTGCAAATCGCTGACATGTCTTCAATATGCCTAGAAACTGTATTATTTGAAGGAGGCACACAATTAATGTTTTGGGGGTATTTTTCATCAATCATACATTCCACAAAATCTTTGACACAAGGCTTGATTAAATTTTCAACTGTGGTATGGGATTCATCTTCTTTAGCTATACGGTAGCTAATGTGATAAGAAGTAATAAGAGCTCTTTTGTTGTCTTTAGAAATAAATGAATGAAACTTAGTTTTTCTTTCGTCTAATTTTAAGCACTTCCTTTTAAAATATTCACTGCTTTTATTTTTCAAGTGAGAATGATTGGTTTTAAATGTCGTTTGAGTTTTGCAGGAAAGAGACTACTATTCTTCAGCACCTTTCCACATTCAACACAAAGTCCACTTGTTTCTTCCTTATCACCAGTCCATGTAAAACCTTAGTTTATAAAGCTATCGTCATATTTTCTTTTTTACTCTTTTTTATGACACGTTTATTATGCGTTCTTGGCGCTTTGTCACATGGCAATGATGTCAACGAACTCGCCATACTTTCCTCATCTTTCCCACTTAGGCCTACTTCATCAGATCTTCCAGAAGCAACGCTGCCTTCACTAGACTTGTTACAAGTTTTCAGCCATTTATCCATTTTATGGGTGAAATCAATCAATTTTATATTTGGAGTTCTGGCACTGTTCAAGAAATAAAATAAATGAAAAGCAAAGTGAGAAAAAGATTTACCAAAATGATAAGCTGCACAAATATGTAGGTAAATCCAGCCGGAATTACGATGTCAACAGCACTGGAGATTTGTGGCTAGTGGGCAACTCTTGTTCCATGGCTCAGGCAGTTGATAGTCTGCCCAGCGGGGTTGCCAGTTTAGTTTATTTACATCTAGCGGCAATTTTTTTCATAATTAACCCTTATAGGGATTTAGTCTATACATATTTTCATTTTAGCAAATAAAAATTTTAAAATTAACATGTAAATATATGAATTAGCTTAAATTTTTTCAAATTTAGCTCCGTGGTCCAAATAAAAGTTGACAACACTGACATACAGGCTTTTATGTGCATATGCAGAAAA